GTACAGTGCTGGAGGAATATCAATACCAAATTTCAAACCTACTACAAAGCCATAGTAATCAAAATAGCTTGGTACTGGCACAAGAACAGACTGCAGGACCAATGGAATAGAATTGAAAACCCAGAAATGAACCCACAGACCTATAACCATCTAATCTTCAATAAGGGAGCTAAAAAAAGACAGCCTCTTCAGTAAATGGTGCTGGCAAAATTGGTTAACTACATGCAGAAAACTTAAGCTAGATCCTTATATATCACCCTGCACAAGAATCAACTCCAAATGGATCAAAGACCTCTGAGTCAAAGCAGACACTCTGAAAACATTACAGGATGGAATAGGAGAAACCCTAGGACTCCTTGGCACAGGTTGAAATTTTCTTAATAGAGAGAGACCCAGAAACACAACAAATCAAAGAAAGTTTGAACAAATGGGATTCCATGAAATTACAGAGCTTCTGCATAGCAAAGGACATAGTTAACAAGATCAATAGAAAGCCCACAGATTGGGAGAAGATCTTCACTAGCCATACAACAGACAAGGGTCTCATATCTAAAATATACCTGGAACTCAAAAAATTAAATCCCCCAACAATCCTCAAAGAAACAACTACCCAATAAATAAGTGGGCTAAAGACTTAAAGAGAAACTTCTCTGAAGAGGAAAGAAGGATGGCCAATAGACACATGAAGAAATGCTCAACTTCCCTAGCCATAAAAGAAATGCAAATCAAAACAGCATTGAGATTCCACCTCACCCCAGTTAGAATGGCTATAATCAAGAACTCTAATAACAACAGATGCTTGAGGGGATGTGGCCAAAAGGGGACCTTACTGCATTGTTGGTTGGAGTGTGAACTTGTTCAACCACTTTGGAAAGTAGTATGGAGGTTCCTCAAAAGACTCCATATAGAGCTCCCTTATGACCCAGCAATCCTACTTTTGGGCATTTACCCAAATGATCACCAACAAGACCACACTAAAGCTACCAGCACGACTATGTTTATTGCAGCATTATTTACCATAGCTAATATATGGAACCAACCCCAATGCCCCTCAGTAGATGAATGGATCAAGAATATGTGGTATTTATACACAGTGGAATTCTATGCCTCCATCATAAAGAATGACATTTCCCCATTTGTTAGGAAATGGAAAGACTTGGAAAAAATTATATTAAGTGAAGTAAGCCAGGCCCCAAAGAAACATAGGTCCCATGGTTTTCCTTATTTGCAATAACTAATATATGTCTGAAACAAGCAGAAAAGGTCAGATAAGTTGATGTTAGGTGAAATGAACCCCACGATAAGTATTCAAATGTTTCTTCTTTCATGCAATTGTTTCTAACATATTTATAAGATGATTTCTTTGTTGCTTTGTATGTCTGTCCCCCACAGTAATACCCCTGCTTTTACTGTATTTGATGTTGGTGTAACTTGTGGAGGGGAAGGGCAAAAACAAGTCGTTTAACTAGGGATACAGGTGGACCCATTACAACAATGAGATGTACAAGTTGTTATGTGGAAAACAAACTTTACAACCTTGGCGGGTGCCGGGGCAAGGAGGTAGGGGGGCCGAGAATGGGAAGGGATGGAAAGGGGAAACAAAGGTGAAGGCAACAATGCTTGATAAGAAATGTACTCATTGTCTTGCCCATGTAATTGTAACCCCCCTGTATGGTATTTTCACAATTTAAAAAAAGTTTTTGGTTTTGAAGAAATATGAAAAAAAAATGGGCCCATTATTTTTTTCAAAAAAATTTTTCTTCAGTTTCATTTCCTCTTATTTTTCTGGTACCTTATTGTAGTTATATTGGGCTTTGAAAATTTTCCCACAATGTAGGAATATTGTTAAAAATTTAATTCTCATTATTATTACAATTTTGTCTTTTTTCTCTGTGTATATCATTTTATATAATTTATATAACATTAAAATTCACTATTTTTCTCTTGCAATAAATTTTTTGCTGTTATACAAAATATACTTTTATCATATTCTGTAAATAGTATATATGCATTTCCTTTTATATTTTCTTAAATTTTTTTTTTGCCAGTCTTGTGCGTGAACTCAGGTTCTGGATACTGTCCCTGTGCTTCTTTTGCTCAAGGCTAGCACCCTACCACTTGAGCCACAGTGCCACTTCCAGCTTTTTCTATGTATGTGGTACTGAATAATCAAAACCAGGGCTTCACGCATGCGAGGCAAGCACTCTATCATAAGCCACATTCCCAGTCCCTCTTTTTATATTTTCTATATCTGTTCTTAGTATGCTAATTGCTTTCTTTTTCTGTCTTGAGCACATGGACTTTTATTAACATTTCCAATGCCCTTACTTGCTAATTATAGCATCTTTATCATTATTGTGTAAGCTTCAATTAATTGATATTTGTTCTTATGATTAAATAATTGTAGTTTTTTTCTTGGAAGACAAATCAGAAATGCCTTTAGTCTGTTGTTAGGTTTTTGTAGCTATGCAGTCATTACCTTTCTGAGTGGTTTAGCTGTCGCCCATATATTGAGAAGACCTTGGTAAAAACTGGTAATAGAAAACAAATACAAATGATTTTAAGGTAAGTATTTGCCTTATCTAATTCCACTATGATAATAAATCACTGTTCTTGATGGGTGATGATTGAAAATAATTCTTTAATTTGCAAATGGATTTGTAGATGTACACATGTCTTGAACTCCCTTATTGCAATATGAATTAAATTTTTTTTTCTGTTAGTTGTGAGGCTTGAACTCTGGGCCTGGGCGCTGTCCCTCAGCTCTTCAGCTCAAGGCTTGCACTCTACTACTTGAGCCACAGTACCACTTCCTGTTTTCTGGTGGTTTATTGGAGATAAGAGTTCCACTGTCTTTCCTGCCTGGGCTGGCTTTGAACCATAATCCTCAGATCTCAGCCTCCTGAGTAGCTAGGATTAGAGGCATGAGCCACCAGTGCCTGGCTTTTAGATGGTTTTTGACTATTGTAAATGGTAATTGCCCGAAATTGCCTTTTATTAACCAAAGACCAGACAACGATGACAACAGCACTATCTATGTAAGTCTAGAACTGAGCCACCATATCTGAGTAGTTTAGTTTAGACTCAGAAGGTGATGATTTGGAATTATTTTATAAGTTCTTCCTAAAATAGAATATTAATCATGGATCAGTGATACATGCCTGTTGTCCCTGTTACTTGGAGCCTGAGGTGGGAGGTTCACTTTAGTATATGTAAGATCTTGTCTCAGAAAAGAAATGCATTAGATTTTTGTTAAGTATGGATTAGTATTAGATTTTTATTAACTATGCCTAAGGATGGTCTTATTTGGTTCTAGGCATATATACAAGTTCAGCCTTAATACAGGTGCTATCGGACCAGTTTACCAAAAGCAAAAAAGGTTGGTATTCACTGTTAGCCTCAAAAAAAGAGGGAATAAAGATGAGAGTAAGAGTAGACAAAATGACCACTCAACACCAACACAAGTTTATTAGAAAAAAACCTGCAAGGGGAAACCTCCAGCCAGAGCTAGGGACGGACTCACTCCCTGTTCACAATCTGAAGCATGTATAATGGGTCTGAAAGAATGCTAGAATAGTCTAGGGGAGGTAGTTCAAAAGTAACTAATGGTGGGACAAATGGTAGCAATAAGGTCACAACTGGAGGCAGGGAGTGAAGTGAGCTGGGCTATCTGCTCAGGGTACTAAGTGGGAGTAGATTCTGGTCTGGTGCTGGCTGCAGGAGGTTATCTGATCTGGAAAACAGGAGGAGATGGGGTGTTTAGTGAGTCCAGGCACTATTCTGGGATCTCCCTCAAGATAAGGGAAACTGGTCATTTCGCCTAATACTCACTTTGAAAAAAAAACAAAACACAAAAAACATCAGTTCTGCTCCATGTAAGCATAAGCACTTGTGACTGGTGAACTCATACCTGGAATTCACCAAATGTGCTTCGGAAGACATGTAGAAGAACAACCCAAGACACTTTATGTAAATTGACCCAAATGGTGAAACAAGGGGCATGCTATTACAGATATGAAAAACTGTAACAACAAAAGCATAGGTAGGTGGCACCTATAGAACATTGATACTGGGAGTATTTAGGTTGAAAGATTATATTTATGTGATATTCAAGAGGAGGCAAACTAATTAAAATGAAAGCAGGTGGAATAGTGGCGGGGGGGGGGGGGGTAGGGGGAGCTTCCATTGCTCCTCTGAATGATGATGAGTTGGAGCAACTCATTTAAGAACCCTGCTGTTTTGTATGTTCTGTTCCCCCAAAATACAGACTTAAAAATAACCCGTGAACTGCAGGAAGGAGTTTTCCTGTGTGGGGAGGGGGGGGGGGGAGTGGGAAGAGAGCGCCATCCATCTTCTCCATGTCTGTCACTAGTCTGCTTCCCCAATCCAGCATTGGGGATGCGCCAGCTCTGCTCTCCGGATCTTCATAAACACACAAACTTCTGGTCTGGGGCTCCTCCCGCCAGGAGGGCGAGGAAGCCTGTGATTCAGGCGCTTGCAGTGTGTGTGAGAGTGAGAGAAAGCCCATTCAGATCCTCTCCCGTGGTACCCAATGCCTCAGGAACTGCGGAAAGAGTGCAGAGCTGCGGGACCAGCCCACCCCCACCCCCCTACTCCCCAGGACATCAGGAGCTGCGGGCTGGACAGCGCCTGGGGTGAGCCTGCCCCCCCAGGCAGGGGTGGGGACCGTGGGGACTGTGGGTGGCCGGCATTTCTAAAGGGAGGAGGGCTCACCTTTGTTCAGCGCTCTGGCTGGCAGACCCAGCGGAAGATGTGAGTGATCTGCTTTCTGGATAAAGAAACTCCGAGGAGGAGGCGGGGCGAGGCGATGCCTGCGGGGTGAAACACCCGCCCAGGCGGTGAGGCTTTGTCACCAGCGCCAGTCCTCAGTAAACTTGCGTGAGCGCCACGCACCTCCACCGGACACAAGTGGTGCACATTGCGCGTTCTCACCACTGGCGCGCATGAAAACTCCGGCGGACTCTCTCCCACGCGAGACCATGCCTCCCAGGTCTCCTGCCAACCTTTCTGTGACCCCAGGAGCCAATGCCAGCGAGTTAGTCCCCCAGGGGTGGGAAAGGGATGTCCCGCCGGGCTCGGATGGGGCCACAGCGGAGCTGGTGGTCCGCTGCGTGATCCCCTCCGTCTACCTGGTTATCGTCACCGTGGGCTTGCTGGGCAACGTGGTGCTCATGAAGATCTTCATCACCAACAGCGCGATGAGGAGCGTCCCCAACATCTTCATCTCCAACCTGGCCGCCGGAGACCTGCTGCTGCTGCTCACCTGCGTTCCGGTGGATGCCTCCCGCTACTTCTTTGACGAATGGGTGTTTGGCAAGGTGGGCTGCAAACTTATTCCGGCCATCCAGCTCACCTCCGTGGGGGTTTCGGTGTTCACCCTCACCGCCCTCAGTGCCGACAGGTAAGAGGACCACGGATCACAGGGGATGGGCCTGAACCAGGGGGTGATGGAGACCCAGAGCTTGTGACCAGAAGGCCCCAGGAAAGGGGAGGGTGTTGGAAAATGCTGGGATGGGGAAGGGAGGAGAGAGGGAGTGTGTGGTGTGTACCTGGGAAGTAAGTGGAGTTAAAGGCAATTGGGCAGCAGGCTTGGATAAATAAAATGTTCCCTGTAAAATGGGGTTACAGTTGCATTCACTTTAAAGATGAAAACTTCCTGGTCTTTCCCTTCCCATAGAGGCTTTGGAAGTCTTCAATCTGTGCCATAGGAAGGCTGCAGAATAAACATACAGAAGTACAACTATGTAGTGGGATCTTATAGTGTGTGTCTAGGACTTTAGAAATGTGTTCTACTTATTCCCTAGGATGATACTCTGGTGGGTAAAAGTGTCTGCCTTAATATTAGGAAAATATTAAAATGATAAAATATGAGATTTTTTCTCAGTATGCCTAAATTACACATATTAAGTGATTTCTATTGATTGGTGTGAAAACAACTAAAGAATTGTTTTTCAGACAGCTGACTTTCACCTTCTACCTGTTTATTTTCTAAAGTTTAGTGGAGTTATTTTTTAGCATGTGAAATAACGGTGCACGAAAGGCCTCTGATAGCAAGTATGCTTTGCACCTATTCTGTCAGTCAACAGCCCATCATCATAACTGCCAGATCAGTTCGTTCAACCTTGTCATTTTTCCAAGTGTGGACATTGAAGGTCAATGAATATAAGTCCTCCTGGAAGAACTGAGGGGGGGCGGAATCTAGGGTCCCTGACTCTGGGACTCCCACCTCTATTCTAGGCTGTCAGTCATTCATGTTAGCAGGAGATATATCTGGGGAGGGGAGGGGGCAAAGTGCATAATTAGGCATTATTACATGAAGCCCAGGTCTTGTTCCCCTGGGAATGTGAATGAGTTAAGCTATTCAGATCAACAATTCAACTTGAAAATTGAAGGTGGTGTTCAGATCATGCTGTTGTTTAATATGCATATTAAATTTTAAACAAAAAATGAGTCTGGATCTAAAATTTTGGCATTTTCAATAAGACCCCTATGTTAATGTTGCATCAAAGAATTAATATTTGCTGAAGGAAAGGGAGTACAAGTTGGAGAAATGAGTAGTTATATTTTGTAAATTTGCAAAGCATTCCCTGTAGTTTAAGTAATGTGCTCTCTGAAAATATGTGTCTAGAAAATTGGCTAACTTTTGTGTAATTCATATAATTCTTATTTGTATGTCACCACTTCTATTCTATTATTTTTACTGAATAGTCAAGCTTAAATATGTCTTTTGAGCTTAGCTGTTCCTCTTTATGGGACAAATTTTAATAAGAAAATTTAAAAACTAATGATTGGAACTACACTTAATGGTTAGCTAGCACAATAGTTGAAATTACCATCATTAGAATTTCATTTTTTAAAACATGACATTAGTAGCAAGAGCCAGGCTTTAATTTATTTCCTGTGATTTTTATTTTTATTCTATTATCATGGAGATACACAGGTAAATTTTCTCTGTCCAAAGTCAGAAAAGGGCCGATCTTCTTATACTTAGTGATTATTTTTTTACCTCACATACACATCATGTCCTTGGTGAATATAGCATGGAAATATAATGATAAAGAAAACCTAGAACTCAAGTGACTTTTGGTTCTCTCCAATTTATCCCAATCAAAACAGCTGAAAAGTAGAGACCCAACAATCCAAACCAGAGGAAATCAAGGGCAGGAAACCTTAAAGTAGAAAAAATAGATAAGCTGTACTTACCCAAAATGCAGGGCAGTGACTAATTTTTCTGAGAACTTTTTAGTTGTCAAATAAAATTGAAATTTTACCTTCTAGAATAACTGATCAGCTGTTAATCATAATATAATCCCAGTAATAGGATGAATTGCAATTTCTACTCTTAATCAAACACTGCTGTATTTGATGCCAACAAATTATGTATTTTTTACTCATCGATCTCAAGCTCTTCTAGTTTTTTTCCTCATGACTGCTATAGAGTTCTCGCAATATTTTTTCATCTTATCATAGTTTAGATATGACTTCATGTGTTTTGAAGATTATTCATTTGTCTTTGTCTGGAAACTGTGAGATGCACTATAAAGAAGAAGAAAATGCACCAGACTGGAGTTTATAGTCTTAAGCCTACATTTGTATATCCAAATGTTTTGCCAGGAGAAAGATGATAAGCAAGCACAAAACACATGCTCTCAATGCACAGAATTCATTTGCAACATTCTTAACATGCCATGACATAGTGTAATGGCAGGCATTGGATTTTTCAAATGCTGAACTTCCAGTGGATGGCAGGCATCCTCACACAGCTGCAGTGTGCACCCATACTATTGGACACTTTCAGGAAGCCTGTTAACAAAGGTGCCCACTGCAGCACTCATTCGCTGCTCTTGAAAAATCATTATTAAACCTGGCTTATATTCAGAGTCATCCGCAAACATGGAAATCATGCTCTTATTCTAGAGACTGCATCATTAACTCTCAGAGTGAATCAACTCACACTCTTCATCTTTTTTTTAAAAAAAGTTTATTTGTTGTGGTGATTCTGAAGATTGACACATGTTAAGCATCACTAGACTCTGACTGCATTTCTCACCTTCATACTCATCTCCAGCCAATTATCTAACAAGTCCTCCTCCATTCTACCACAATTGGTCATGACAAATAATCTCCTTGTTAGTCAGGTCAAGTTTACTTTATTAGTCTTACAATCATTTATTGAGAACCTGAGATAGACTGGACATGGTGCTGTACACTAGAAATGTGAGCATGACCTCTCTTCCTATTCTCATATATTTTATTCTTGGACTCTTTTGCTGCCTATTAGCTGCATAAAAATTTGAGCAGAAAAATTATAGATACCTAAAAATATGTGTGGAAAGGTTGCAGCTTTTGAGATGATAACTTTGTAAGAAGTAAAAAATTATTGAATTTTCTCTTTAGCTTTGTGAGATGATTAAGTTTAATGACCTCTTCAATTTATACTGATACAGATACAAGTGAAATTCTATATAAGAATGAAGAAATTTATTTATTTAGGTACTGAATTAGGCAACCACTCTACCACTTGAACCATGACACCAGCCCTTTTTGCTTTTTTGCCCAGGTTGTCTTATACTATGGTTCTCTTATTTATGCTTCTGGCAAAGCTGAGATGACAAACATATACCAGAGTACCCAACTGTATATTCTTGAGATTGAATCTTGCTTTCTTTTTCCTTTGGCTAACCTGGAACCATGATTCTCCCTATCTAAGCCTCTTAAATTGCTACGATTTTAGGCAGGAGGCATCTGGCTAATTAATATAGTGATACTTACACACGAATCTTGATTTTCCTTTTGTATTTGTGTTTTGGTCAATAATTCTCTAGTATTCAGTTTTCATTTAGGACTATCTTTCTGAGACTCTGCAATCAAATGTGTAACCTTACAAACACTTATTATACTACAGTGTTCAAGGAAAGAGTTTGCATACTGAGAGACATTTCCTCCATCTATTACCCAATGTGTAAAGAAAGCACAATAATGCATGCCCATTTCAGTATGTCCTCTCTCTTCTTGCTTGCTTTGCTAATAAGCAGGAAGAGGGACTGAAGGAAGAGAGAATGAGAAAACATCCAACGCAGGTCTACCACACAGGATACAGCAGCCCAGGATAGAGAAGGCACTTCCACAAAGTGAGGTACCTCTCTTTACAAGCAAACGCCCAAAAGTGTGTTGTCTTCCTAGGTACAGAGCTATTGTGAACCCCATGGATATGCAGACATCAGGGGCGGTGCTGTGGACCTGTCTGAAGGCTGGTGGCATCTGGGCGATCTCTGTGTTGCTGGCAGTGCCGGAAGCTGTGTTTTCTGAACTGGCACGTATAGGTAGCTTGGACAACGGCAGCTTCGTGGCGTGTATACCCTACCCTCAGACGGATGAACTGCATCCAAAGATCCATTCAGTGCTCATCTTTTTGGTTTATTTCCTAATACCACTGGCTATTATTAGCATTTATTATTATCATATTGCAAAGACTTTAATTAAAAGCGCACATAATCTTCCTGGGGAGTACAATGAACATACCAAAAAGCAGGTAAGCTTGGTAAGTGCATGTGTGTGTGTGATCTGGGAGCAGGTGCTGGACAGAGACAGGGACTGCTATGTTGTGTTCTATTGCTCATGTTCACCATGACAGAAATGATGAGGAGAGCCATGGGCCGAGCATGCACTAGAAGGGCTGGTGATTTAGCTTGTGGTCTTGTCAAAGCACTACAACATTCTCCTTGGATTCAGTTTATCCAATATCTATGCCCAAGATAGGGCCTGAATTTCCACCCTTAGAAGCTAAGTTCTCCCAGAAAGCTTTTCTTTGCATGCCAGTGCTTATTGCTATGATCAACATTACAACAAGAAATTTTTACACATTGGGCTAAAATTTATTTAATTATCATTGATTCTAACCTACTAAGGATCATTGCTACTTGACTACTACTAGTAGTAGTTTACTTCACAGACTACTAAGGATGACAGAATATGGAAGAAAATTAGGAAAGATGGTTCTGGGAATGCAACTTGGGTTAGAAACGAGGATGGAAGGCTGTCAGAATAGCAGAGAAACAGGAAGAGATGAGCACAATCTGAAAGCAGAGCTTCTATAAATATTTGCTATCAAAGCAAAATGTCTAGGTTATTGGCTCATTGGACTTTTTATTTTAGTTATTGCCAGTTCTTTCATTCAGAGCTCTGTAATCCAATTTGTCTATCAGTTTGGATATTTGACTTGTGGCTTTTGTTTTTTGAAGCTGAGTTCCTGGACCTCACACAACACAACACACACACACACACACACACACACACACACACACACACACACACACTCACATGCTCATGTGTATCCTCCATTTTTGTTTATAATGGCTTGGATTCTGCCTTGTCTTTGCGGATTTTTTTTTCTTCACTCAAATCTCCAGGTAAATATTGTTTTACAGTTTTCATCCCTGAACTCCACCTGTTAGGGAGGTCACTGCCAAGTGATCTGCTTTTCATATCCAACTTTGTTAAAATTGTTGGTTTTATTTTTTTATGCCATTGGGGCACATCTACCACCTACCAACACATTGTGCCATTGTGCCCCCTCGTTGTCAGGTCTATTCCAATTCTCAAACTTTCCAGTCTCCTCTACAATATTCTAGTTGATAACCAACAGTTCTACTTAAGAATATATCATAATGAGTGTTGTCAGTACATTTCATTTTCTTTTCTTTTTTTTTTTTTTTGGGTCTGGTCGTGGGGCCTGAACTCTGGGCCTGGGCACTGTCCCTCAGCTCTTCAGCTCAAGGCTAGCACTCTACCACTTGAACCACAGCGCCACTTGCGGCTTTTTTCTTTTTGCTTATGTGGTGCTGAAGAATCGAACCCAGGGCCTCATGCATGCAAGGCAAGCGCTCTACCACTGAGCCACCTTCCCAGCCCCAGTACATTTCATTTTCACATTCACGCTGCCTTTTTTACATATTTAAGCAAATTGGACAAGTATGAGCCATATCTTCAACCAAAGATGTTAGATAATCATTCTCTGATTTTTAAAAAAATATTAATGCTTGCTGGAGGTGGGGATCAGTAGTAGAACACCTGCCTATCAATCCTGAGGCCTTGAATTTAAAACTCAGTATGGCCAAAAGTCACAAAACAAAACAAAACAAAAACCAAACAAAATAAAATAGAAAAAAAATGAATGCTTGATACTTGAATTTTGTCTGTTGATTGCATTTCTGAAAATTTAGTTTTGTTTGTTCTATAAGTATCAGTGTTTGAATTCAAGGCCGTAGGCTTACTTGGCTTTCTTGCCTGTGGCCTATGTTGTTCCACTTGACATACCCTTCCAGTCTGGCATTTTACTAGTTAATTAGAGTGGGACCTTACAAACTCTTCTGTCTGACAGGGATGGAACCACCATTCTCAGATCTCAGCTTCCTCAGTTGTTAGAATTACAGGTGTGAACCACTGACACCTGGCTGGAGATCTTCAGTGTATAAATGTAAAAATGAAAATATGTAGTCTAAGGTAGTCATACTTACAAGGTTCCTAGATGCTGACTTATGCAAGTTAGGTATTTGTATGTCAAGTTCTTTATGTATATGAGTATATCATAAGTACCCACTCATTAAAAACACTGAGTACTGTGTCAATAGATCAATTTTTCCTACTCAAAACATCCTGATATTGAAAAAAAAGTAAGTGTTTCATTCAGTGTATTTAGAACACACCAAAATGATATGTATCATTTCTGAACATGAGACTTAAAAATAACTTAAAAATAATTTTGAGATTGCAGTTTTAACATAAAGACTTAGCCATTTAGTAATACTATACCACCTAGTTTTGTGTAAGCTGTCAAATATATTTGATCTGCTTGATCAAATTGTTAAAATGATCACTTCATTGAAGAAAATAAACAATTATGTATTTTAGATGTATTGTAACGCTCTGACAAGCCTTTCCCCTTTTGTACCCTGATTACTTTTTGGATGTAGCTGAGTCCCCTTTTATTTTAACCAATGAGTCTATTTCTTTCTGTTCACAGATGGAAACACGGAAACGCTTGGCCAAAATTGTCCTAGTCTTTGTGGGCTGCTTTGTCTTCTGTTGGTTTCCAAATCATATCCTCTACATGTACCGGTCTTTCAATTACAAGGAGATCGATCCATCTTTAGGTCATATGATTGTCACCTTAGTCGCACGGGTTCTGAGTTTTAGCAATTCTTGTGTCAATCCATTTGCTCTGTATTTACTCAGTGAAAGCTTCAGGAAGCATTTCAACAGTCAGCTCTGTTGTGGGAAGAAGTCTTATGGAGAGAGATCAGCCAGCTACCTTCTCAGTTCTTCAGCAGTGCATATGACATCTCTGAAAAGCAATGCTAAGAACACAATGACCAATTCTGTTTTACTAAATGGGCAAAGCTTGAAACAGGAAATAGCTCTGTGATTGGAGCCATTCAACTCACCACTTGAAAAAGACTTCCTAACTTTTCTATCACTGTTGAACCAAACAGAACTAAATACTGTATCCATCTTTACTGTTGCCTAACTGATCAGATGATTTCACAATTGACTCAGAAAAAGCAACAAACATTTTTCTATACAAATAGGTATATCCATACAAATCTCATTTTGAAAATGACTGAAAAAGCAATGTAATATGTGTCTAAGTCAGCATTGCTTTAATAATTCAGATTTTTAAAAGCCAACTCAAGTATATTTACTTTAAATTTGTTTTTCCTTGAAGCCAAAATAAATTCCTATATTGACTCCATAATTCAACAAAGGGCAACATTCTAAGTTCTATTGTTTGGAAATTCTATTCTAAACTCTATTCTTTTGAAATTCTATTGTATTTGAAATACAGATCATATCTTCATGATGAGTGACTTTTATTTATAACTAGCATAATTATATGTATTTCTGGATAGTTATAGTAGTTATGAATAATGTATACACATATGTATATGTGTTCATTTGAAGAAAAAGGAGGAAAACTTAAAAGGCAGAGCTTAATTATGGGTCAATAGTACTGCAGTTATTTTGGTGACTAATAAGTTCTACAAATAGTTCATGTCTGTAACTTCTAGGTATGTGAGTAAAACACATGTTGACATTTGTGTTATGAATTGTAAATATGTATATATGAATGTAATTTATATTAGAATATAAAACACTTAGCATGGATTTCAAATTGCAAAACTAGCACTCTAGTGTTTGCATGAACATCTTTGTATACGTTTCCAACTCCTTGACAATTGGGGTGCTTTTGTAGAGATGTCATAAGATTTGTATAATTCTGATGAGTTCTCAACCTCTTTTGCAATAGGCAGTTGACAAGTGTGTAGGATCTCACTTAGGTAATTTTTCTCTGCATGTTGTCATAGTTTTCTCTGAATAAATGTCATGCTTTTTCATCTTGAGTAAATACTAAAAGCTACATCCCCCTTCTTAAGCATGTTTGAATACATCTAACTGCTGAGACATGAAACCAACCCAGATGCCCATCAGTAGATGAATGGATCAAGAAAATGTGATACACATACACACACACACACACACACACACACACACACACACACACACACACACACAATGGAATTCTATGCCTCCATCAGAAAGAATGACATCGCCTTATTTGTTAGGAGATGGAAAGACTTGGAAAAAATTATACTAAGTAAAGTAAGCCAGGCCCAAAGATACATAGGTCCCGTGGTTTCCCTTATTTGCAATAACTAGTACATGAGTAGGACAAGTAGAAAAGGTCAAAAGCTATGTACATATGACCAGATAAGATGATGTTAAAGAAAATGAACCCCAACATAGGGACACAAGTGGGTTTTTCTTTCTTGCTATTGTTTTTAACATATTTATAATGTACCATGTGATTTTTTTTTTTTTGTTTCTTTCTTTGTTCCTCCCCCATGGTATAATCCCTGTTTTCACTGTATTTGACGTTGGTGCCCTGCATCTTGTATATAGACTTCTCTAATTCGGGGAGGGGAAGGGAAAAAACAAAATGCTTAAATAGGGATACAGGTTGACCCATTGTTACAATGAGATGTACAAGACACTATGTTGAAAACGAAGTATGCAACTTTGGCTGGGGTTGAGGGTGCGGCAGTGGTGGTTGTGGAGGTGGGAGGGAAGGGATGGTAGGGGAAAAACAAAGGAGGAGGCAACAATGCTTGATAGGAAATGTATTCATTACCTTGCTCATGTAACTGTAACCCCTGTGTACAGTATTTTTACAATAAAAATGTACAAAAAAAGACTAAAAAGGCCCTGAGAGAATAACTGGAAAAAAAATTGATGAGATACTATTGCTAGTTTATTAATCTCTTCCTTAAATAACCCTCTGCCATATAATTTAAGGTATGGAATACTGATCATACCTACTGATTACAAAAATAAATACAAGCAAATTGCCCATGATATTTGATCATTCTAATCACAATGTGACAGTCATCAAGTGTTTTCTATGTGTCTAATCCTACAGGGACAAGTTCATTATTTCACTTAGTACTCAATAAAACCACTGATAGGAACCAGGGAGAGATCCAATTTTTATAAGATATGAATAAATGCAAGCTAGAGGGATCTTTACTCAAAAGATTACATAACTGTTCAAATTAAACAAAACATCTAGTCACATGAACACATTGCCAGGATCCCAAAAGGGGACTTCAGAAATTTCAAGATGAAGTCACCTCTCAATTAAGTCTTGCTAATCGCTTTATTTTATAGATTGGAAAATTGAGGCTTAGTAAAATCGCAGAACTTAAAGAGGATTGTTTTTGGGAAATTAAACCAGATACTAGCCAGGCGCCAGTGGCTCATGCCATGTAATCCTAACTACGCAGGAAGCTGAGATCTGAGGATTGTAGTTCAAAGCCAGTCCTGGCATGAAAGTCCTTGAGGCTCTTACTCCAATTAACCATCAGTAAACCAGAAGTGGTGCTGTGGCTCAAAGTGGTTGTGTATTAGCCTTGAGCCAAAGAGCTCAAGGATAGCTCCCAGGCCCTGAGTTCAGGTCCATGACTGAGAAAAATAACGAATAAAAAAAAATATGGTATCATAGTGTATATACTTTTCTTCTCACTGTCACCAAACTGGCTCTCTGCTACTTTGAGCAGTTGTTCTGAGGCAAGCTGTAGGTCCACTCAGCATAATAAAATATATAGGTTTTATATTAATTTTGATGACATTAGCAGTCTCTTAAAAGCCGTCTATTGAAACCTAAAAGCCATGAGCTCAATGTAAGAATCCTTGGTTTGTGCAGAATTCTCCTTGTTGGCATTAAGGTGATAGTAGCCACCTCACCTCCTTTATGCTTTGCAATTGACAATGGCTTAGCAGTGGTTTTATTAAGGCATAATATAGATTGAGCATCACCTACATTTGTGGACATTTGAAGATTTCATTGTTCTTGCTATTAAGTGTTCACAGGTCTAGCACTTAATTTCTAATGGACAGTATTGAAAGGAGGGATCTTTAAGAGGGCTCTGCCCTCAAAAATACATGAAAAGAGTGACGGATCCTTGGAGTGGGTTATCATAGGAATAGTATCTTCACAAAGGATGAGTTTGGCTTCCTTTCTTTCCCTGAGAACTCTCCAGTCTGCAATACCTTTCACAAAGTTGCTATGCAGCTAAAAGGCTCTTGCCAAGTGCAGCCTCTTGATCTGGAATTTTCCAGCTTCTAAGACCTATTGTTTACAAATTACCTAGTCTTTAGCAATATGTTAGAATAGCATAAAACAGATTAAGGCATATCTTATTTCCAAAAGCAAATTATCCTCAAATTGATTTATGAAATGTATACCACAAGAATAAATCATTCTGATGATACATATAAGTTCAGAATAGATCAAAAATACCAAGGTCCAAATTAGTTAAAGTAAACATACATAGATAAAAATAGACTTACAAAAGCTAATCAATTACTGGTTAATGCTATTCTATCTTGTAATGTGTTAGGATTGAAGGAAAATGTTTCTGAGAAACATGTTGAATGTGCTTATACTTACCAGAACATTATGTTTTTAATGTAGATATGCTATCCTTCCTTTAATGTGAATCTCCCTCTATAGTACAGAAGTTATTGACAAGAAATAAAGACAGAAGTTTTGAAAGCTTGGGGTCATTGATTGTTCCTTTAATTGTCTCATTTCTAAAATGAATGAACAATGATGGGTTAAACTGTATGGCTTATTAAGGTACTCATTCTCACAATGCATGGCACAATAGAAAATGTTCAGTTTATGTAGATTTTACCATCACTTTTGTCATGGAGTAGAATACTAATGAAATTCATTGAACATTTATTATGTGCCAGCTCCAGTACTATATCCTTCATAAGAATCGTTAAATCAGATGTAAGGTATTATGATTCCTACTTGGAAACTGAGTGTTAACAAACAGATAAGATACAGAAGGTGGAGCTTGTTGTCAGTTTCTCATCTGTCTTCAAATTTATATACAGCAATGCACTGCATAATGACATGTCAGTCTATAAGGATTGCATATAAAAGGGTTTTCCAATAAGATGATAATGCTTAGTAACATTGAAGCCATCATTGTAGACCTATGAAATAATAGATTTTGAACAAATAGACATTTTCTGTTTGGCCATATTTTATCAATGGATTCATTGCTCACTCACAGTCTTTTTTCCTTTTTATTTATTTTTCTCCCCCGTGCTGCCGCCTACCCCCCCCAGCCCCCAAATTGTAAAGTTCATTTTTCGACATAGCGTCTTGTACATCTCATTGTTGCAATGAGTCAGTCTGTATCCCTATTTAAACAATTTGTTTTTTCCCTTCCCAAATTATACCAACATCAAATACAGTGAAAACAGGGGTTATACTATGGGGGAGGGACATACAAAGCAACAAAAAATCACGTGGTACCTTATAATATTTCAATAGTTAGACCTTTCTTTGTATTTCAACTTCAAAATAAAGTAACATATGTGTATATTTTTCTTAGACTTGTCGAGGACAACTGGAAAAGACTTGGAAAAATATGGGCAGCACTGGTGAAGAAAATAATTTTTGTAAAATTATGAGTAGAAGGGAAACAGCTAACAAATGTACATAACGTGAGCTTTTAATTTTTTTCCTGTGTATTGTGTCTTTTGCACTATTTTTTATGTGTATGTAAGCCTTATACTCTTTTTGCTCAAGGTTGGTTCTCTACCACTTGAGCAACATCTCCACACTTTGTTTTCTTTTCTTTTTAATGGTTGATTGGAGATAAGATTCTCATGGATTCTTTTTTTCAGCTTCAAATCATGAGCCTCAAATTTCAGCCTCCTGAGTGGCTAATATTACAGAGATGAGCCACCATACCTGGCTTTAAAAAATACTATTGAACAAGTTATTTTCTTAGGAAGAAAAGGCAATCTGTAGCAGAAGATTTGTGTTTGAAGTGATAGACAGTAAAC